TAATCTGCATATGTGGACGTTTCTCTATAGATCAAATCAGAGCTCAATATGCAAAAAATTAAAAAACAAGTTTGTGTCCGGTAGTGGCTTTTTGTGCATTAATTTTTCGACAATCAGAAAACAGCTACCAAAATAAATAATTACAACTAAACTCTGGTGACTGCGTTTTAGATCCAGGTTTAACATTATCACATTTTTGTGTATGTTTTTTTCATTTTATTTGAGATGGAAAAAAACTATACATTTTGAAAAGAGTATTGTGTGTCTAAGACAGACACACTGTTAAACCCCCATTCAGATAAGCAAGGGAAAAAATGTATTTCAATTAATTAAAATACAGGGATTTTTAACCAAAAAAATAACCCGTTTCACATTTAACTTTAAGCTATCAGACACAATTTTAAGGCCCGATCAGTACTCCATCTCTATTGTCTATGAAAGGTATTATGAACAACATACCATCTGTACAGTATTTTGGTGTGTGAATTTAAGACTGTCACTTTCAGCTAGATAACACTCTTAAAGGACTGCAACCATTTGTGAGCATGTGGATAGGTATGAGTATACAAAATAAAATTCCGTCCATATGGGTATGTGTACATGTACTTTTACATTAATACAAAGAAATAATTCGGGTATGAGTGCTATATAATCATGGGCACTTTTATCACTTTTGATCAGAGGCAACAAAAATAGGAATATAATTTTAGACAAAAAGATGGATGAGCCTAATGCATATAATGAGAAGTGATTTATTTTTAAACATTTCAGGACAGTAATTGATCTGTAGTTACCCAGGTATCATTCAAGGTGTAGAAAAAATTAAATTATCCCATGGTTACATATTTAGGCCAATATATGAGAAACTACATATTTTATGAACAAGTCATGACAATTGGTAAGTATTGAACTTGCACACACAGGTCCCACTACTCCAGCGAGTCACCTAGTGACAGCACGCTGCTCCTCAGTCCCAATAAGGATGACTTATAAGATATTCATTAATTGTTTCTCATAGGGTTAAGACCATCTGCATTGAAAATGAGTGAAGGGGAAATAGTGAAAGTGGGACCAGAAACAGGAACAGGAATATATAGGTAGCCCTGTCCCACAACAAAGGGACAGGTCCATAGCAAGTGAAGAAGTGATTCAGTACAGCTGCAATTGAGTCATGGACATTTGCCACGGCCGATGCCCCACGAGGACAGTCGCTGAGCTGTTTTGACAGCCTTCCATGGAATTCGCCAATTTAAATCTCGGAGGAAGAGGTCGAGGTGGTTATTTACTAAAACGGAAAACTACGGAACAGAAAAGAAAACATCTGAGCGAGGCAGAATAGCTGGAATTTGATTAACAAGAAGGTTATACACACATGCGTACCGTAACGCTGTTCCAGTTGATTGAACAGAGATTAGGCAAAGAACGAATTAGAGAACACAAGGTAGAATAGAGAGGTGGAACGGAAAAGGAAAGAGGACGGAGAATTGAAGAAAACGCAGGCAGAAGAATGTCACGGAGGGAGCACCAGAAAGCGGCGAAAAATCCTAAGGTGGGGTGTTAGCACGAAAAAAGAACACAGACCTTTGACGAAAATGGCGTCCGATTTCAACCTCACGCTGGTAATAACACCAAAGCCACCGCGTTCCGTAGGCTGGCAGAAAGTGGCTCGGCGAACCAGTTCTGTTTTACCTGTTCACAAAAATGGAAAAATGATCTTGTTAATCTTCCTTTCTATGGAGACCGGCAGAGGATAAACAGGAAAAACATAGAAAAGGTGAGAAAGGAAGACAGTATTCATAACTAAAACTTTCCCAAAAAGAGAGAGGGAGCGACGCTTCAAATCTCAACACAGAGGTGGAGTTTATTTAACCGGTCCTCCGGTGGACATGTCGCCCTTGCCTATCCAGAAACCGTTGATGTTGATTGGCTCCCGTGTCCACAATATGGGACAAAGGTCGCGCAATCTTTCATTGAAATCACCTTAAACAAAGCCTTTGGACTTATTGACACTACGTCTAGAACCACTAGCTCCTTTAAAATGACCGATAATATTAAAAAGTTTAATAACCGAAGTAGCATTACGTAAAATACAAGTAGTATCATCTGCATACTGCAAAATTTTACACTGGATGTTATTGCTACCGGGGATGATGATTCCTTGAATATCTTCATCACTACGAAATACCGCCGCGAAGAGTTCAATGAAAATAACATACAGATAAGGCGACAATGGACATCCCTGCCGGACACCTTTCTGTAGAGGAAAAGGATCAGAGAGAAGGCCATTGACCAGAACTTGACCAGAAATGTCTGTAAATAAAATACGGAGCCATTTGACATAATTAGGCCCAAATCCAAATTTTACAAAAAACTCTTAAAAGAAAATTCCAATCAACACGATTAATAGACTTCTGTTGATCGAGAGAGATAAAAAAGGAAGTTAAAGAAGGCTACCTTTAACACCACAAATTTGGAAAGGACTAATAATAGAAGGAGTAGTAGGGATTGGACAGTTCTGGACCACACGCCCCTTTTTACCGTTTTCAGCAAAAACCCGTGGGTAGTACATCGACTCAAAAAATCGGGGGAAATCCCCTAAAAATCTGGAATTCTAGATTTCCTCCGGTACGTCATCGACCCAAAAAACCCAGCTCTGAGGTGCCGGTGAATATATACATTCTGAGCCAAAACCCCCTTTCACCCACCACACTCACCTTTTGACCCCGGCGCCGCTCGCTTCACTCGCTGTAAACAACTCGTGACTAGCGCCGCTTGC